CTGCACGTGAACGTGAATCCAAGGGGATGGCCAAGGGAGAAGTGCGGTCACTAGCCGGTAGCGAGTCGAATAGTTCCGGTCGATTAAATTGCTTTTCGAACTACTCAACCTTACAGTGTATTTTGAAAGCCAGTGAATAGGCTGTCCAATTAGATTGCATATTGTTTCATTGGCGATAGTGTCCATGCTATCGGTTTCGAGCATAAGGTGGAATAAACCGAGAGTTGTCAAGAGCAGCGGCTGTTTCCACCTCTGTTGCACAGTGAGGCCACCAGACGTCACGGTCTACTTTCAGGCTAGCACCTTGCTGTCAGGGCGCTGACAATCCTGTTGTGCTCGTTCCCAGTCGGAATGTGTTGGCGAGCGTTCAGGATTTCCGGAGACTGCATAGAGACCAATTGTTCTGCTTGATAGTCAGAGTTGTCACACGAAAACGTACCTACAGTTAATAACATCTGGTTAACATGTGACCAGCCGTCTTCAACCATGTTTACTGAGTGCTTGCTCAACTCACATGTCAGTACCCTTTGATATGTATTCAGAAAACCCGGTTTCGTCAGTTGGCGAGGATCTATGCGATCACAGCGTCGTTGCAGATGTCTGTACATGCAAGTGCTTGGTCGAAGCCCACCCTTGTACTTTAAATCACGCGACATTTGTAGACGCAACATCTACGGTGACCGATCGTGATGCGGTCCATTTGCGTTCATGACTGGTCAGAGGCTGCTGGGCACCATGTCACCCTCCAGCAGACGTAATGTCAGAATTTGGTGCTAGACAGAAATAGGCGCGAATCTTTGCACGAGCGTAGCAGATGCGCATCTTTTCCTTACGGCAGCCTACTCTGTGTTGGTCTTCTAGATGAAACTCATCAACGGCTAGCTTCCCAACTGTAACATTGGAATCACCAGTCAGCACTACGATATCAGTACTTTTGTGGTGACGAAAGAACCCTTTCAATTGACTGAGTCAGCACTAAAATTTATGGGGTAGTAGACAGTAAAGCAAAACAGGTACTTCTTTTCTCCTCCTGAATTCTAAGCATCCAATCTGAAGGGGTACGTCCATCCGTCAAATGGCCACGGCCACATTACATCTGACAGTATGTGACTAAACCTATTCTCTACTGGATACTGGGAGTACCAGTGATATAGGGACTCGGGCTCAGTGAGAGTGATTATCTGACTGTAGTGTCTGAACAAGAGTAGAGACGATTGCCGTCCTGTGTCGGTCCATTGGAAAGCGCTTCTTCGAGAAGTAACCTAGGCTTCATGATATCTACGGAGTGCACTTTTGTCATGATTCTGGCAACCTAATTATAATTTACTGCTTTAACTAACGAATTGGTTTAGCTAAAATACAATTGACCGGTCAGACCCCAACAGAGGGGTCGGGGTTTTCGATCCCTGGGGTTTGACTTCCGGCTCTGTGCTCACTCCGCGATCCCCTTCAGGTTACACTAGCAACACTCTCATTGCGCCTATCCGGTGACGATGCAGCTTCGAGCACTGGCCAAGCCGGTGTTGGTATTGCCCTGAGTCCCCGGGCTGAAACTGCACTGGTTGATTGGATCCCAAGCAGTAGCTGACGGTGTGCGGTCCGATTGGCTGGCTCGTTCAAAGCTTCGAAGTCGCGTGTGACTGACAAGTGTCTATTCGTTATCCCTGCATGTGCACGGACAAACTCTAGCGATGACCCGGTACAAGACGACTTCCATCGTCAACTGAACGAGCTCCTTAGCCACAGAAGAAGCACGGACACTGTAGTGCTGGTGGGGGATCTGAACGCACAAGTTGGAAAGTTGTCCACTGATGAAATGCATCTGGGCGGTCAGCATGTTGTAGGCTCCCGTAATGATAACGGTGAGCGGTTACTTCATTTGTGTAAAGATGCCCGCTTATTTCTTTCGAGCACTAATTTCCGACACAGCACCCGCAGGTTGGTGACTTGGGACCCACCAGCCTCGAAGCAGCTATGGAAGCAAATCGATCACATTGCGATAAGTTACCGATGGAGAGGCTGCAACCAGAACTGTCGCTACATTTGGATCACAGGTGTGGACACCGACCATGCGCTTGTATGTGCTGACCTGCGGATGCGCTTTGGCGGACGCCCAGTACAATATTGTGAGCGCATTGCCCCTGGCCAACTGACGAAGCTAGCTGTTCTGAATGCTTATCAAAGTACGCTGTCATGCAAGTTGAGTAAGCGCTCACTGAACACAATTGAAGTTCACTGGTCTCATATTCATCAGACCTTACTAGCACCAGGCAACTCCGCATGTGGTATGTCTAATAGCCAACATGGACACTGGGTCATTTCGCAGTCGCTGGAACGTATTGATGCTCTCCGGCATATTCCGACTGGAAGCGAACACAATGAAACTCGCAAAGAGCTCCGGGCAAACTGCGTGCTAGCCTGAAGACAGACCGCGAATCCTGGTGGTCCGATCTTGCTTCAGAGATGGAAATGGCCGCTGCTCTTGGTAACCATCATGTTATTTCGTCTGATACGGGAAACGGGCAGCAGGAGACCTGGTGTTAGTGAAAATATACGTGACGAGAGTGAACAGCTTAAACATAACTTGTCAAAATGTATGGGGCGCTGGGTTGAACACTTTGAAAGGCAATTTAATCAGCCACAAATGTTAGATTTCTCGCCGGCCACTGATCGCCAGGCTCCGTGGGCCGTCCTTTTGGATCCAACCTCTCACTCAGAAGTCGAACGTGAGATCGAACTGTTGAAGTTAAATAAAGCCGCGGGATTAGATGATCTTCCTCCAGCTCGCTTCAAATTCGGGGGACCTGCTCACGTGGATGATTTACATGAGGTGCTAGTAAAACTGTGGGAGCAGGAAACTGTGGCAGCCGACTGCAGCCCCTCCGTCATTACCCCAATTTCCAATGGGGGTTCATGATCGGAATGCGGGTGCCATAGAGAAATCCGTCTGATCTCCATCACATCCGAATCGCTTGCCTCTGTCATCCTTCACCGACTGACTGGCAATCGTGAAAGCCAGATTCGTGAACAGCAAACAGGATTTCGTCGAGTTCGTGGCTGTATTGACCATATCCTCGCTTTGCGTCAGTTGTTGGAGCACCGTCACATATATTGGCGGCCCACCGTTGTCGTGTTCCTCGATATCAAAGGTACCTTCGATTCAGTGGATAGACGTGCACTTTGGGACTGTCTACTCAGGAAAAGTGTACCTGAGAAATACGTAAATATTATTGGAACATTATATGCGCATAGCTCGGGCAGAGTGAGGGCTTACGGCCACCTGTCGTTGCACTTTAATATCTCCAGCGATGTGAGACAAGGATGCTCGCTGTCGTCTTTCCGCTTCAACCTCGCTACTGATGTAGCCATAGGAATCGCGTTCACAGGACACGACTTAGAATGTGTGGATCTGCTCCCAGGAGAACGACTTGTTGAATTAGAGTAGGCTGGTGATATTGCCCTAATCTGTAACGGCTCAAAAAGGTGCCAAGCGGGTCTGGACAAATTAGCATTGGCTGTCTGTCACTTCGGGCTTTACTTCGTACCCTCGAAGTGCAAAGCGTTCCTCCAAGATTGGTCTGGACCGCTTCCAACGCTGACTCTTGGTGAGGATCAGCTAGAAGTCGTTCAAATACGTAACTACTTGGGAAGTCGTATCAGCGCCCGTGGGAGTGAAGACTGGGTCACCAACCCTATTGCAAAAGCTCGGGGCGCTTTTGCTAACATTCGCCACTTATGACGCCGGCGCGACATCACTCTCGTCCTGAAGGGTAAGGTGTACCATGCAGCGATACGTTCGACTCTACTGTACGGTTGTGAAACCTGGTCTCTTAGACCAGCGGACATAAACAAGCTGGTTATGTTCGACCACCGGTGCCTTCGTAATTTAGCTCACATCTGGTGAGAACACCGAGTCAGCTACGAGCGTGTTCGGCGCTTTGTTTACGGCACAGGAAAAGGAAATCAACCGCTCAGCACCGTTATTTCACGCATCAGGCTCCGATGGCTGGGTCACGTGTTACGCATGCCAACCCACCGACTCCCGCGACGTGTGTTGTTTGCGCGCCGGGGGTGTGGATGGAAGAAGAGGAGGGATGGCCAAGCGGAATGAAGGCCCTCACTTCTGAGCTGGCGTCGGTTAGAGCGTCTCGGCTCCCTGGTTGGGTTCCGAAAGACGATGAATACTTTTGGCTGGATACACTTGCTGATATGGCTAGCAGCCAACCTCAGTGGCGTTCGTGCTGTGAGTTGCTTTGCCCCACCCCATGACTCTTAGCCTGCACCTCCAATCACGACCTCACTATTTAGCCTTATATAATTTTGCATAGTAATTTTTTGTGATGCACAGTAGCCGGCTGGTAGCTTACCTGAACGATGCCCATCCGTTACTGGTAGCTCAGCCTGCCTGCATCAGTAGCATATTTTTCTCCTTTTTTCTATGTAATTCGGCACAGTAGATGAGGTGTTCCCACCTCTAGCTAACGCGTAGAATAATAATAATAATAATAACAATAATAATAATAACCCATCATCTTTCCTTGGTTGACATTAGTCTTTATTGCTAACATAAGCACTTCGGATAGTGATTGTCCACCTCAGTGAAGCTGAATGCAGCTGTGTCCTTAATCTCGTATGTAGCTAAGTGACGCTGTTTACTTTACATGTAGGATGGTCGTATGCGGCAGTGTACACTAATAACGCTAGCCAGTGCTGTTACACCCACTCGCCTTAGCCAAATGAATCAATTTCATCTGGAGAGTAAGGTTGCTCGATGCACCGTGATGCATTCAGCGACCATCTCAGTGCCGTCTTGCTGTAGTCCGAGTTGGTTATACTCGACGAGGAAGATGAAAGTGTTACGATGTTCTTCGACTGAGATAAGTTGCATCTGCGCAAGATATTGGTTTAGAGAACACCTCGTCTTAAGCCCACGCTCATCTTCGACCCGCATCTGTGATTCGCCCAGTCTGCAAAACCCTTTTTGGACAAGGAGTTTGCTTCTTCCTATTTTCGTTTTAATATACTATTCATGAATGATAGTTGCTTTTCGATGCATTAGAACAAAGCGAATCTGAGGCTCATATGTATTTCGATGCTGCCCCATTCGTATTGTAACTGAGTTTGGACACGTGCACGTCCAGTACATGCAAATACACAAGTTGTTCTGCTATATTACAGAAATCAGCACAATGAAAGTAATCATCAGATGTGACCACGACACTTTACCACAATGATACATCTCTCTATGAGCAGTTTACGACCCGCCCAAAACGTTCACGTAACTCCTCATTTAAGCAGGCTTCCTCCAGCGCTAATTTTGGTCTCAGCAAATCGCGCCGTTTTGTAACATGTAACTTCTTAAGCGCAGCATGTGCATGCACTGTTTCCATATATGCTTCTGGGCCTAGCAATGTCCTCGGCTTTTCCATACACGCATTCAGATGTCGAACGTAATTCTCCAACTTTAAGCCATGTGGAATCGCTTCTTCGGTGGTCGGGCTGGTGCTTTCCCCTTGAGTGACATCACGAAATACGTGAACCTTTGGTGGCTTACACGGGACCTTGCGAACCAACTGGACGCCAAACATGATCAACGAAATTAGAGCGAATGATCGACTGCAGCATCGCGAATGTCACGTGGCTAGCATCATTCAAACTAACTCATGAGATACGCCAATGATTATACACGTTATCTAGAGGTGGAGAAAACACAGATATTGTGACACAATATATAAGAGGAAAAAACCTGCGGCAAAGGCACGCCAGCTGAGTCGTTAGTAACGGAGGAACATCGTTCCGGATAGCTACTAACCGGCGATTGTGCCGCAAACAGAATTAAATTATACATAGGAAATGAGCCCGTGGTTGGAGAAGAAGGAGGGATAAAGAAAATAACGCCACAAACGCCAATGAGGTCGGCTGCCGAGCATTACGACAAGCGTATCCTCCCAAACGTGTTCATCGTATTTCGGTCTACAACTAAGGACCATATACAATCCAACGGAGGCCAAAGTCGAACTAAGGGCCTTCATTCCTCTAGACTAACCCATTGCTTGTCCTCCCATCATCTTCTGCCGTCCACACACCCAGCGTACAAGCAACGCACGTCGCGAGAGCCGGTGGACTAGCATACGCAACACGTGGCTCAGCCATCGGAGCCTGGTGCGTGAAATAATGGGTTGAGCGGTTCACTCGCTCTTCCTTCACGAAATACGCGACACGGAACACGCTCATTGCTCGTGCGATGTTCTTATCAAGCATGAGCCAAATTGCGAAGGCAAATATGATCAAAAGTAACTAGCCACTTTATGTCGGCTGATCTAAGGGGCCAGGTTTTACAACCGTACGGTAGGGTCGAACGCACCGCTGAATTGTATACACTGTCAGCCGTAGTCTAGAGATAACGAGCTTGTCTCGTAATCTTGTGGCGCGGGTTCGAATCCGCAAAGGGGTAAGCATCCTCGCGGTATACCCAGCCCGCTTGCAACTGGTGGTCGCAAGGCAGCGAAGTGGCGTTACGGCGTACAGCTGACACGCTATTATTATTATTATTATTATTATTATTATTATTATTATTATTGTGCCCACTACCCTTCCGGGCGATAGTGGTGTCGCGCCGACGCCATAGGTGGCGAAGGTTGACAAAAGCGCCCCGAGCTTTTGCAATAGGGTTGGTGACCACACCTTCATGCCCACGGGCGCTGATACAACTTCCCAAGTAGTTAAATTTTTGAACGACTTCTAGCTGATCACCATCAAGGGTCAGCGCAGGAAGCGGTCCAGACCAATCTTGGAGGAAAGCTTTGCACTTCGAGGGTACGAAGTAAATCCCGAAGTGACAGACAGCCAATGCTAATTTTTCCAGAGCCGCTTGGCACTTTTGTGAGCTGTCACAGTTTAGGGCAATCGCGTCTGCAAACTTCGAGTCTAGAAGTCGTTCTCCTGTGAGCAGCTCCATACATTCTAAGTCGTGCACTGTGACTTCGTCAACAGCTGTTGAAGAGGAAAGTTGACAACGGGCATCCTTATCACACACCGTTGGAGACACTGAAGAGCAGCGACAGCTGGCTGTAAGCCCTCACTCTGTCCGAGCTACGCGCCTAAAGCGCTTGCATGATATTACGTTTTTCACGGTCAACCCAGTCATTAGCAGGCAGTCACAAAGTGCAAATCAATCCACCGAATCGAAAGCAACTTTGATATCGAAGAACACGACAACGGTGGGCCGCCAATATATGTGACGGTGCTCCAAACACTGGCGCAAAGTGAAGCTGTGATCGACTTAGATTCGACCTCGACGAAGCCTGACTTGCTCTTCACGAATATGGTTTTCACGAGTGCCAGTCAGTATGTGAAGGATGACAGTGGTAAACAATTTGGAGGCAATGGAGTTCCAATTGATTTCACTGTGGTTGCCGCATTCCGATCGTGAACCCCCCATTGGAAATTGGGGTAATGACGGAGCGGCCCCAGTCGGTTGGGACAGTTTCCTGTTCCCACAGTTTCACCAGTAACGCATGTAAATCATCCACATGAGCATGACCCCCGAATCTGAAGTGGGCTGGAGGAAGATCATCTGCTCCCTCGGCCTTATTCATTCTCGACAATCCGACCATACGTTCGACTTCTGAGCCGGAAAGCGGATCCAAAGTGACAGACCAAGATGCAAGACGATCACTGGCCGGTGAGGAATCTAGCAAATCCAGCCGATTCACTTGAATTTCAAAATCTCAGCCCAGCGCTGCACGCGTTTTGGCAAGTTGTGCATAGGCTGTCCACACTCGTCATATATAGTTTCACTAACACCAGGTCTCCTGTTACCCATTTTCCGGAACAGATGAAATACATTCGGATGGTTAGCAAGGGCATCGGTCACTTCTATTTCTGACATAAGATGGGACCACCTGAACATGCGGTCTTTCTTCAGGCTGACATGTAATTTGACCCTGATGTGTTTGCGAGTCTCATTGTGTTCACTTTCAGCTGGAATATGTCCGCAGGCATCAATCAGTTCCATAGACTGCGAAGAGACTCATGGTCCACATTGGCTATTGGATTGTGATCATGTCCATTATAGGTTGCCGAGATGAATTCCAGAATGAAGGCTTCGTTTATTTATTTATTTCAGTGTGAATTTACATGGCTCTAGTTATTTTCAACTGTATTCAGTGACCGCTGGCTCAATCCGAATGCCAGGGTAATTCGGTATGCATTCTGTACATTTGGCTTCGTCAATTGGCTGGTGCCTATGTGCTCACAGGGTCATCGTGGGCGTCCGTTAAACACAGCCGTAGATCAACACATGCAAAGCATGATCAGTGTCCACACACGTGTTCCAAATCGAGCAACAGTTTTGTACTTAATCTCTCCAGCTTTAATTGACGGCAACGGGATTGATCAGCATTCATGGCTGATTTGAGACTGATGGGTGTCGTGTCACCATCCAACAGGTGCTGTATCGGAAGTTAGTGCTGGCAAGAAATAAACGAACATCTTCATACAGATGACGTACTCACACATTGTCAGGATTACAGGAGCCTAGATCGTGTTGGCCACCCAGATGCAATTCATCGGTGCACCATTTTCTAGCCTGACCTTTCAGATCTCCAACCAGCACTACTTTGTCCGTGCATCTTCCTTGATGAAACAAGGCGATCATTTGAGCATGAAAGTAGACTTTCACTAAGTCAGCGCTACCAAACGACACCTATTATCCCCGCGCGACTTCGAAGCTTTAAACGAGCCACACACAGCCAGCTACTGGTTGAGATCCAATCAACAACAGCAGCTTCAGCTCGCGGACTGAGGCAACATCCACAGCGGTTTGGCTAGCACTCGAAGCTGAATGATCTCCGGATAGACACAATGAGAATGCACTGTTGGTGTCACCAGAAGGGATCGCAAAGCAAGCGCAGAGCTCGCGCCTTGCAGGTGGGTTTCCGATAGATAGGTGAAATCGATCGAGATGTTGTCTATTGTCCGGGGAATTGCTACGTGTTGACCTAGCTGAAATGATTTTCGTACTTCGAGGTATCCCAAAAGTAGAGATTATCGTGGGCTCCAAATAGAAGCCGATGAACTGGATTTGTAGGTTTTGTTGGGCATGGGATTGTCGAAAGGAGAGGAGTGAAGCTCCACGCGTTCATGCGAGTTGAAACTAGAAGATAAACGCTTATCTAAGCATGGTGAAGGTTAGCAATGAAGTGAGTGGTTAAAACACGGGATAAAAGTGGAGTTGGAAAGGGACGATAAAGGTGAAAAAGCGTAAGAGAGACACTAAGAAGATGTGAAGGCTTGATCATTAGCGTCCTATCCACTCTGCTGGACGTAGAATGTAGGGCGTCGTTAATAATCGTCTGCGACGCCCGGAGCATAAAAAATTGTTTCAAAGTAAAGTCCATGTATTGCGTGGGCAGAATGTTGTAAAGTAACCCAGGTCTACAAAATTTCCAGATTGATTGTATCCATAGCGCAATTGAATTACTTCCTAAAGCTTTGATTTGCATCCGCAAACCAATTGAATATCATTTTTAATGCATTTGAATTGCATCTAGTATCATTTCGATGCAACGAGCATGCGCAGTGACCATAGAATTGAGCTAGTCCAAAGCAGCCAATGACGATAGATGTAGTAAACCTTGCATGAATATACGAGTTCTTGGTGTGTTATGAGCACGCGTGGGCGTTATAGTCTCCATCCAACAACGGTACCTGATCTGAAGCTAGTTCCACGCAGCTTAGGGACACAAGGTTGTTCAAACACGTAATGCGACTGGGTGGAGGGTTCAGTGTGCGTAAGTGGACTACCATGTACGTAAAGCATGCCTTGCGAACAACACAAGTTGGGGTTGGGGTTGCAAACAAGTTAATGCGACATCCCATTTGCGTTTTTATTGCCAATTTGGCACTGGCGCAGCCTAAGGTTTTAGACGACCTACTAAGGTTCTGGCATACGACGGTACTGTATCCGCATAGCGAGGCAGTCACAGGTGCATGGCTGCGTATGACGGGGGCAGTGTGACGGACTTGCGAGTAGAGCGACAAAAGGGGCCTGGGCAACCGAAATACAGGTTGGAAGGTGGTCGCCTTGGGTTACACAGAGTCGTCTTGAGCGGCGGTCTGCTGGGAGGGCTAGTGCCGAAATACAACTGTGGTCGTTTTGTTACAAGGCGATTAGGCCATGCTTTGTTACAGCAGGCGTCGCTTACCTTCATGGTGGATGCAGTATACCGACTTGATGGTCCATGAATCAATTGAGCTACTGCGACCAGGCTGTCGGAATTTTGCATCGACCGATTTGTACGCACATGCAGAGGCGGACCGGTGCGGACCGAACGTAAGCGCCACCGACACGCAAGTCAGTGCGCATCAACTGAATTCGTATCCCGTACCAAGTTTAGTGATATGTTCATATATGGGAGTCACTCCATCGTTGCTCGGCATCCTTGTCTGTCCATTTCACCGCCTCTTCTCCAGAAAAGCTACTTGCCCGACACAGCATATAGGCGAGCAACACATCAGTCTATTCCTGCAGTAGTTGTACTTGAGAAGCCCACAATTCCTGGAGGTCGATAACACACAATATCATACTTAGCGGCTTGCGAACACGTAGTGCACAATTGCAGATGGCAATACAAACG